TTCTAGTCCAACATCCTGTTCAAGCAGAAAACCCTACCCCATTTTCCTCCACTGCTCCTTGACTTTGAGAGGTCCTACACAGCCAGTTGCCAGCTCCTTCATTTTTCCAAGTTCTAAGACCCTTTATTTAACTTTTGCATGCATGCGACATCCTACAGCAAACCGATACCCTTCTGACTTTACATGCATATACATGAGAGCCAGCTAATCAAAATGTACGAAGGTGGTGAGCAGCAGGTCCACCGTGGCCAAAAAAGAAACCCGAAACTCGCTGATGTTTTCCAACTAAACAGTCAATCAAAGACCTTCTCCCCAAGGACAAATACACTATTTTGTTGGAATGTGCTCCTTTGTGCACTCGCTTGCTCCTTGTAACTATAGATTTCTGTTCAAAGGTTTCCTTCTGCTTTTATTCATCGCTTCTTTCAAGGTGACATTTCAAGGGAAATATTTCAAAACGGGGAAGGAAGACGGGGAAAAACATGACAAAGTGTTAAGCAGATGTCGGCTGCAAGAGTTAACCGCGATGCGACGTAGGCTCCCACCCAAGACAGAAATATAACTCTAGGCTTTTTCCAAACGCATTCTTTACACAGCAAGAAATAACTTTTAGCTTGCACATTAATCAAATTTGTGGGCTTTTTCCCACCATCATTTTAATGCCGGCTCCTTAGCATGTGCTAAGCAAATAATTCTTCCAAATACCGAACTTCGCTCATGCCTCAATAGGACTCAACCAAAAATATTAATAGCTTTTCACACCATTCTTTTCCTTGGCTGATTTTTTTTCTTTTCTTTCAACAGCAGTATCCAAAAATAATAATAATAATTTCTGCATTTAAAAGTAGATATTCTACTTATCTGCAGCACAAACTACAATACAGTATGCTACAAAGAGAGTTTGGTTAAGTAGTGGTAAAAGGCACCTAGCTGTAAACCAGGAGATGGGGAGTTCTAGTTCTTCCTGAGGCACAAATCCAGCAGAGTGCCTTTGGGCCAGCGACTGTCTCATATTTATTTCTTTGATAAAAATATCCCACTTTTACAACATTTTACAAATAACTTAAGGCGGTGAACATATCCAACGCACCTTTCTCCTTCGATTTTTGCCACAACTGTGAGGTGAGTTGGGCTGAGAGAGAGAGAGGAGGACTGGCCCAAAGTCACCCAGCCGGCTCTCACGCCTAAGGTGGGATTTGAACTCACAAAAGAAATTTGTGTACACTGAAGCGGTGGGACTTTCCTGATTCTTTCATTTGAGCAGCCTTGTAGGGGTGACCATGAGGCGTCCATCGTTTCTCAGGAAGCTGTGGCTCTGCCGCTGTGTGTTTGGGGGTGATGGTTCTTGGAATCCTTATTAGTCTGAAAAGCAACCCGTTCAGTAAGGAGGCTATGTTATCCTTTAGGAATGCTAATCTGCTCTTCAGAAGTGGTCGTCTTCAGTTGAGTGGGACATGTGCTTAGATGCAACCCGAGAACCAGAATGGCGGAATGTCTACCTCATGGAACTGGATAATGCCTGTTCTAGCCCTGTTGTCTAGCCTCTTCCCCCACCATTATTCCTTCCAGATGTGAGGGATTTTATCACCCCGAATCCCCAGCCAGCATCAAGGAGGTTGGGCAAGGCAACTTGGAGATCTTCAACCACAATTTCTGCTCCACCAAGCCATCAATCCATGTCCCTCCCTTATCTTGCACTCTGACGGTCTTTATCAAAACCAGTGTTGTTTTAAATAATGGCAGCCCTGCTACGCTGAATCTCAAGGAGGGATATTTATTAGCCAGATCAGAATCCAGCACGTAAAGTGAGACATTTTCTGCCAAGCCGGGTCAATTTCTTTTCTCTCCCAAGCTATGTTGTGCTGTTGAATAGTTCCAGATCTAGGAGGAGGCCCCTGTTGTGGGCCACCGGCGGCCTGCGGAGCTGGCAGCAAAGTCAGACAGTGAGGAGGTTGGGGAGGAACATGGGCCAGTCCTGGAGTCTGGGGAAGGCTCGGATGAGGGCTCTGCATTGGAGGCAGAGAGGGGGCCAGGGCCATCTGCGAGTTATGTGCTGCCTCTGAAGCCTCCAGAATTGGACATCAGCGAGGCCGAGGAACAGGAGGAGCCTGTTCCCAGTGTGCGCATGCATAGAGCTGCCAGAAGGCAGGAACAATTAAAACAAAAGGGACGACTCAGAAGTAAGGCTTGGAGATGATTGGCCCCTCCCATAAGACATAAAGGAGGAGCAAAGGCACGTGAGCCTTTGCAGGAAGCAACTTTGTTCGTTCTGGTCGGTTTAAATTCTGAAGCTCCGTTTTGACTCTGTGCTCCGTGTGGCCTTGCAAGGCTAATTGCCAATTAGGTCTTTGGCAGTGTGTCAAGGGAGATAAAGAAAGCCTAGGTCAGAGCCCCGAACAAGGCAAGGCCCCAAGGATGTGGGCCAAAGCTCAGAAATCTTGTACCAACTTCAAGAAAGGGACTCTGAACTCATCCCTTTTTTTTTTTTGCACAACAGACGATGCAAAATCTCTCCCTTGCATCTTTGACCAAATCTCACGATCGGTTGTGTTTTTGACAGGAGTCTCAGGTCCCAAAGGGAGAGGCAACCCACAATTGTATTCTTCAGACAGATCCTCCTCCACACAAACAGAAATATGCATCCACGTACAGAGAGGCAGATGGGTCAAGGCTCTTCCTAAAGGTTGCAGCTAGACAATTCAAAACTTTCCCAAAAGTAAGATGCCTAAATCTCAGCTTTTTTTGAAAAAAAAATATGCATATTTATTTTATTTTTATTTTTGACAGATGAGGAAAGATTTAACTCTGGGTGAAAAAGAACCACCCTTGGTGATAATTTTATGGTCTGTTTCAGTTTAATGAAGCATTGATCGGATAGCTTAAATGATGTTGTCTCAGGTGCTGAACAATCAACCACTTGCTTTTGGACAACAAAATGTGTTGGCTGAGTTACCAGATGGAGGCAAACATCTAAATGAGACACGAGTTTGTTTATACCACCTTTGGTGGAGATGAACACACTTTGAACACACCATCCAAAAGTAGCAATGCAAACATATGAAGAACAGTTGCAGGAACTGGGTATGTCTCGTTTAATGAAAAGAAGGACTAGGGGAGACATGATAGCAGTGTTCCGATATCTCAGGGGCTGCCCCAAAGAAGAGGGAGCCAAGCTATTCTCCAAAGCACCTGAGGGCAGGACAAGAAGGAACGGATGGAAACTAATCAAGGAGAGAAGCAACTTAGAACTAAGGAGAAATTTTCTGACAGAACAATTAATAAGTGGAACAGCTTGCCTCCAGAAGTTGTGGATGCTCCAACACTGGAAGTTTTTAAGAAGAGATTGGACAACCATTGGTCTGAAGTGGTGTAGGGTTTCCTGTCTGAGCAGGGGGTTGGACTAGAAGACCTCCAAGGTCCCTTCCAACCCTGTTATTCTATTCTATTTTCTATTCTAAATTTAGCATTAGTGGGAGACTGCGGTTATTAGTTTTGCAGCTGATTTCTGATACTGTTCCTTCTTAGGAGTTGCCTTGAATTGAATGTACCGTGCCATTTTCATGGGGCAGAAAAATAGCAACATTCTTGTTCTAAAAAAGAATCGCGCTCCTTGGCGTGCCTGGGAAGAAAAGCCACATGCCGTTTCCCAGGGTTTGTTCAGTCCCTAGGGTTTCACAGCTTGGCTAGTACCAAGGTTTGGTAGATGTATTTGAAGACCTGTCCGCACCAGATCAATCTCCCAGTGTTGAAGGTTCCCAAAGCTGCTGCTCCGTCCTGCTGACCACCAGGCATTTTGCTTACCTCAGAAGCAAAGCGTATTTCCTCTTTTCACATATGGATGTCTAGGGAGCAATGATGTCCCGTCTATATTACAGACGAAGTAGATGAAAACGGGAGCAGTAGAGCAACTAGGGGGAGTGATGCAAAGAGGGCAACTTTGGAATTCAACCATACTATCACAGAAGTCACTTCAGAAAACTTTCTTACAAAAGGAGGAGGAAGAAGAAGGAGGAGGAGGAGGAGGAGGAGGAGGAGGAGGAGGAGGAGGAGGAGGAGAAGGAGAAGGAGGAGGAGGAGGAGAAGAAGAAGAAGAAGAGGAGGAGGAGGAGGAGGAAGAAGAAGGAGGAGGAGGAGGACAAGAAGAAGAGGAGGAGGAGGAGGAAGAAGAAGAAGGAGAAGAAGAAGAGGAGGAGGAGGAGGAAGAAGGAGGAGGAGGAGGAGGAGGAGGAGGAGGAGGAGAAGTAGAAGGAGGAGGAGGAGGAGAAGTAGAAGAAGAAGAGGAGGAGGAGGAGGAGGAAGAAGAAGGAGGAGGAGGAGGAGGAGAAGTAGAAGAAGAAGAGGAGGAAGAGGAAGAGGAAGAGGAGGAGGAGGAGGAAGAAGAAGAAGAAGAAGAAGAAGAAGAAGAAGAAGAAGAAGAAGAAGAAGAAGAAGAAGAAGAAGAAGAAGAGGAGGAGGAGGAGGAGGAGGAGGAGGAGGAGGAGGAGGAGGAGGAGGAGGAGGAGGAGGAGGAGGAGGAGGAGGAAGAGGAATTTTCAGGTCCTCCACTTCTAGATCATCTCATGTATTAACTCATACATCACTTTGGGCATCACCTTTACATGGCCTATTATTGTTTTTCAGCATTCCTGCAATGGTTCAATTTCCAACAGTAAGTGATCTCATGAGCTTTCTTTTGACTGATATCCTTTCTAGGAAGAAACAATCTTCCTGCACGATCTTCCTAGAAGGTTTCATTCAACAAACAATGTTCCAAACACCACACTTCTCAAACCAACATGGGCTGACTCTTTTCTTTTCTTTTCTTTCTTTTTTCTTTTTTTCTTTTTTTGCTTTTATGCCTCCTCCTCCAGAAACATTATTCTCAATCTGGTTTCTTCCAAAGCACTTGGGACCTACTGCACCCAGGAATCCTGAAGGCTAAATAGGGAATTCTGGCATCTGCAGTACTAACAGATCACCCAACTAGAAGAAGATTTTTTGGGGAGAGATGGACTACTTACCCAAGTAATTGTTGCTCTTGGACATCTCTGTGATGTTGATTTTGGTGGCCCCTTCTGGAATTTCTACTATTTTGTGGTAGCCAAGGTTGGTCAGGCTGTGCTTGAAGACTCCTGAGATCACCCTGCAGGCTGTGTTGTCCCCTCCACAGATTCCACATTTGTCCACCACCTTATCGGAACCCAGGTAGTCATCGCAGCCAATACTCTGTCACGGAAAAGAAACAGAGACTCAAGAGGTCAATATATGGAATGCATCAGAACTAGTTTCAAGAGAGCAGAGTAAAACTCAGTTTATTTATTTATTTATTTATCATTCGTATTTCTATGCCGCCCACACTCCGAGGACTCTGGGCGGCTTACAACAATCGACAGTATACTAAATAGCATATTGCCCCCAACAATCTGGGTCCTCATTTTACCCACCTCGGAAGGATGGAAGGCTGAGTCAACCTTGAGCCGGTGAGATTTGATCTGCTGATCTGCTGAACTCGCAGTCAGCTAAAGTAGCTGCAGTACAGCACTCTAACCACTGCGCCACCTCAGCTCTTTTTGCAATAACCTTCCACCAGGAGTGGGGTGGGAATGGAGATTTTGCAGTATCCTTCCCCTGCCATGCCCACCAAGCCACGCCCACCAAGCCACGCCCACAGAACCGGTAGTAAAAAAATTTGGATTTCACCACTGAAGTCAAGTCAAGTCAAGTCGTCAAGTCATCAAGTTTAGTGTAGTCTAGTTTACTAGTGTAACACAATGCAACACAACACAACGGTACTTTTGTTCATGATTCCTTTGCTTGAAAGTTCTTTAGAAAGTCTTTCCTGATGGAATCCAATGAAATGACAACTGGCCCAATTTACTCCCCAAACCAAGCCAGACTTTGTTCACTCCCCCTTCTCTAAGCAATGGAATTCACTAAGTTGTCATCACTTCCTTTGAAAGTAGCTTCTGGGTTCTACTGAAAAAATAATAAATACTGGTATGACAATCATTCAGCTAGATGTTGATACACAGTAGAAACTCTTTATTCTGCTGCCTTACTAGAGGAGCTTTCTCTTCCAAAGGCCCGAAGTAGGTATTTATAACTCTGATGAGTTATGGCAGTTTGGGCCAGACACCTGTAATTGGTCCAAAACTGAATATCGCTGGACTTGGGCCTTTGGCCAAAACAATTTTAGGGGTGAAGAATAAAGCAATTTTTTCTGGCAGGTTGATTTTTTCTCTCTCTCTCTTTGTCGGTGTGTGTTGACTTTCAAGGCAGCTGCTCCAAGCAGCTCAGCACTTAGGAATGTTTCTGAGAACGGAGAAAAAGTTCAGCCCGCAGCACAATGGAGAAGCCGAGTTCGTGATGGATGACAGAGTGGGTTGCCTGTTTTCCTCCATTTTTCACGGGGATATATTGTGAGCAGATGATATGAATGGGGCAGGGCAGGAAGAAGGGGGGGGGGGGGGGGGGGGAAGGGATGCAGCCCAAGATGGAACGAGGTTAAAGGAGACGATTTTCCATCAAGAATTTGGGAGAGATTAAAGCCCCTCTCTCTCTTCTTTTTTCTTTTGCAAGGCATTATCTCTCAAGCTGGATCTTCTCTTCCAGCTGGGAGAAGAGTTCAAAGGAATCTATTGCATCACTTTCTTTCCAAACAAAAGACTCCTCTTTCGCATTAGTACATTCTTGGTATCTAAGAATAATAGAATATCAGAGTTGGAAGGGACCTTGGAGAAGAGGAGAGGAGAGGAGAGGAGGGGAGGGGAGGGGAGGGAGGGGAGGGGAGGGGAGGGGAGGGGAGGGAAGGGAAGGGAAGGGAAGGGAAGGGAAGGGAAGGGAAGGGAAGGGAAGAGAATAACAGAGTTGGAAGGGACCTTGGAGGTCTTCTAGTCCAACCCCCTGCTTAGGCAGGAAACCCTTCAGACAAATGGTTATCCAACATCTTCTTCAAGTTATGCAGGTTCAATTAATGTTGGTTTAAACTTCTTCTGTCTTTCTGTTTTTCTGTTCCACAGACCCTTGTGTCGTGTTTATATTGAATTTTGAACGAAGGGGCTCCAGGAGGCCAAACAAAATGAGAAATGAGCGAGTTGAGGTTGAAGATTGGCTCAACTTTCGCTAATTAATCTGAAAAGAAATATAATAATAACACCAGCTCTTTCGGGGGACTTTTTGTATTTGCTCATTCAAGTGATTCCGGAGAAACTCTGGGAATCCTTGGAAACTCATTAGGAACTTCCGAGTGAGACTAGCAGTTGTGAACGAGCTGTCTCCCCAATCAACGAGGGGGCTATTTGCCCTCCGCGAAGTACATGGATGGATGAAAAATTAATCCCCCTGGAATTTGTGCACCAAGATGCCCGTTCTGGGCCTCCCCTAGCAAAAATGAAAATTCAGAATGAAAGTCCAGACCAAGAAGAGAAAGAATAAAAAATAACTTTCACTTATAGGATTATGTTGGATAGAGACACAGATCTGAATACAGAATAACAGAGTTGGAAGGGACCTTGGAGGTCTTCTATTCCAACCCCCTTCTCAGGCAGGAAACCCTGTACCATTTCAGACAAATGGTTGTCCAATCTCCTCTTTAAAACTTTCAGTGTTGGAGCATTCACAACTTCTGGAGGCCAGTTGTTCCACTGGTTAATTGTTCTCACTGTCAGGAAGTTTCTCCTTAGTTCTAAGTTGCTTCTCTCCTTGATTAGTTTCCATCCTTTGCTTCTTGTCCTGCCTTCTGGTGCTTTGGAGAATAGCTTGACTCCTTCCTCTTCTTTGTGGCAACCCCTGAGATATTGGAAGGCTGCTATCATGTCACCCGCTAGTCCTTCTCTTCATCATTATTTCAGTTCAGAAACCACGTGGGCAGGAGAAAATGGGATTCAGAGAAGGATCACATCTGGAGGACAAGAAAAATGGCTTTTGGGCTTCCTCCCCCCCTTATTCCTGGGTATTAAATCACTCTTAGAAAAGCCAAGTTGCAGACAGTTACACAAAGAGCAAAAATGCCCTTCCACTGAGTTTAAAAACATGACTTGCATAACTCAGAATATTTGATCTCCTCATTTCCTATGGAGCCTCCACGGCTGGCATTTTGCACAGATCCCGCGACAGATAAGACGCATTGTGGTGTTCTTTAGAGCAAAGATGACCATTTCCAGCCTCTAAATGGGAACCAGAAATTTTTTTAACCACAATGGCAAAGAACATATTGCTGCATGCTGGTGAACAGCAAAGGCTTCGTAACCCTAGCGTAAGCCACAATTGAACGACGGTTTGTGGCTTTGTGGTTGGAGGCTTTTACGATGGTTGTGAGCTGCCCCGAGTTGCGTTTTAAGGTGGGCAGCCCGACAAATCTTTTCAACAAATAAATGAACCACAGAAAAAGTAAGCCAAAAATAATGATGACCAAATACGTTGTGTTTATTAGGCCATTATACCCTTAAACTAATCCAGATTTAGGACAAATTGACAGTGGACTGTCAAACTCAGTGAATGGATGATTTTGCGGTGCCAAAACTTCATTGGGTGGAACATAAGAAAGATACAACTCCTCCAGACTCTTTACACTGCAAAGCATAAATAATCTGCAGTGAATTATCTGGAATTGCACTTTTTTTTTTCTCCCCCTAACCAACACATCTTCCTGGAACAAAGCAAGGGCTACAAAGTCAAACATGTTTTGCCAAAAAACCTCAGCACACATCAGACATCGGTTGGTCTGTTTGTTGGCTGTGAGCTACGTTCCCACAAACCCATTTTAAGAGATGCATGAACTCCTCTCCCGGGACAGCTGTATTTCAATTCTTCAAAGAAGCACGGAGGCTCACCCAAAGTTTTGGGAAAGACGCAGCTTTTTGTGTGTATGTGTGTTGCGATTCCTCCGAGCTCCTGCCTTTTTTAGCTTTTGCTTTAAATCTCCTTGCCCATCTCTTCCAGAATCCTAGCAGCAACCTCCATCCAGGCTTCCAATAGAAGAGGAGAGGGCTGGAGCCGGAAGAGTTATGCGCTGGGGATTTTGGAGTAGGCAACTGGCCATCTGATGCCCTTTTCCAGAAGACTTTTCACACGGAAGTCTCCCGCTGACTTCCATCCTCAGGCTCCAAATTAGCCCTTCAACCATTGTGCTTTTGAATGCTGCAGGAGAAGAGAGGAAGTGAAGGTCCCCATCAACTGCCATGGAGGTGATTCATAGAAACACAGAATCAGAGGAACGAAGACATGTCATGCTGGGCACAGTGGAAAAAGCCCTTTCAAGAGAGACCCACAAGACGTCGTGGAGGACATTCCAGCCATAAACTTTGGAAGGCCCTGACATTTTTGTCCAAAGCTTTTTCTGAGGGATCCTTGGCCACTCTGTTCCCACACCGTGATCTCACACAATTGTTGTTCTGCTTTCCCAGAAGAGGGGCAGAGCTGCATAGGTCTTGCTTTCAAGATTTCACCATCGGTAAAATACAAGGTATCCTTGACTTACTATCACAATTGGGCCAGGAACAACTTCTTCTTCTTTTCTCCCCAATTTATTTATTTATTTTCATACAATAAGTGCTTACTGAACAGCATACTATCTGGGCCAATTTGCTTCCATAATAATACTTTTTCAGTTCCTAGTTACTACCTCTGTTATCCAACCACTGATAAAACAAGCTCCAAGTTCGAAAATATTCTCTGTCTTCTTTTTCTTTTATCTTCAGCATTAATCGGTCCATTTGTGCAGAGTCTAGTATTTTTTTAAAAAGAGGAGAAGAGGGGCAGAGCTACACAGACCTTGCTTTTAAGATTTCACCATGGGTAAAATACAAGGAATGGTTGGCTTACGGCCACAATTGGACCGGGAACTTCTGTCGCTAAGTGATACAGTTGTTAAGAGAGCTGCATGCAATTTTGTAATCTTTTTTTTCCTTGTGTGATCTCTTGATCCTGGGACTCCTGTAAATGCATGCCAATTGATACTTGATCCATAAAATATTGAAATGGGTTTTTTTTAAAAAAAAAAAAAAAAAAACACCACCATTTATAATCTCTTGGTTTTATTTTATTTTTTTTCACACTGTCCTTGCTGGAAAGAGCCTTGCTTCCATCAGTAATAAAAAAGCTAAAATCAGAGGTTAGAAATTCATAGCACGCTTTCCTGGCAGTTCTGGTGTTTTTCTGCAGCCGCTTATTTGCTGTCACAAAAGCAGAAAAGTTTCCCTCCCATTGTGGTCACCTTTGCGGCCACA